ACTAGAGGGGGGTGAATAGTCGTTATTAAATTCTAATCATGCCGGCTAACCGAAACAAGTGCAAAATTAAATCTTTCGGTCTAGCCAATACTACACCCCTCTATCTAAGTTCACTAGCACCTTGCAAAGATCCTAATTAAGCAACTAAGGTGCCGGGCTAGCTAGAGCTCACCTAACCAATTCTAGAAGCAAGGTCACACAAACCTATGCCACTAGTACTTTAAGCAACGAGGGAGGTCCTACACATGCTAGTAAGCAAAAGCACAAAGCCAACTAAGCTTACTAGCAATGCTCAATAACAAGGCAACCAATTCCAAATTAGATAGCGCAAATACGTAGCTACACAAACTAAGCAATGTGACTAACAAGGTTACACAAACCAAATTAGCCACGCAAGTGAGCTACTTCTATGCTATACAAGCAAGAAGGTAACTAGTAAGCTACACAAGCAAACTAATTACAAGAGCAACTACAAAAGCACAATGTATATGAAAGTAATTACAAGCTTGTGTAACGAGGATGCAAACCAACAGGAAGAACAAAGTTGACACGGTGATTTTTCTTCTGAGGTTCACGTGCTTGCCAACACGCTAGTCCCCATTGTGTCGACCACTCACTTGGTGGTTCGGTGGCTAATTGGCATCACCCACCAAGCCCGCACGTCAGGTGCCACAAGAACCTACCCCGAAAGTGAGGGTAGCTCAATAACACGCTTTACTAGAGTTACTCTTCGTGGCTCCCGTGGGGCGAGCACAATGCCCCTCACAAAGCTCTTCTCCGGAGCACCGCACAAGCTTCTTGCGGGCTTCGATGGAGACCACCACCAAGCCGTCTAGGAGGTGGCAACCTCCAAGAGTAACAAGCGCCACCGGCTTGCAACTCAATCACCTAGTGCCACTCGATGCAACCTCATGATGCAATCACACTAGAATCGCTCACTCACTCAATCGGATGAACACTATCAAGCTAGAGTGAGTAAGAGGGATCCCAAGCACTCTCAAGCATGGACACAAAGTCCCCCAAGGTGCTCCACACCAGCCATGGCCGAGACCACCTTCTATTTATAGCCCCATGGGCTAAACTAGCCGTTATTCCTTCACTGGGCGTTTTTTCGGGACGACCGGACGCACCGGTCAGATCAACCGACGCAGGACCTCAGCGTCCGGTCAACAGATGCTCGCCACATGTCGCCTCCATTCAAACACAGTCGCTCGATCTCAATGGTCAAGTGATGACCGGACGCGCTGCTCAAAGTGACCGGATGTAGGACCCCACCATCCGGTCATTTCCAGTGAGGTTCTAGTCACGATCGGACGTTTCCAGTAAGCTCCCAGAGCTGCTCAATGGTCATGATCGGACGCAGCATCAGCGTCCGGTCCTTCTCCAACTTCTCTACGTCGCCTACGTCACCATACATCAGCCTGACCGGATGCACCCTACCAGCGTCTGGTCACTTTCAGTGACAGTGTCCGGTGCACTCTGTGAAACCCTATCTTTTCTATACAGGGCGCCAGTGACACTCTACCAGTGGAGTTTCGATCCCTTGCCTCCGTTCCTTCACTGAGTTGATCCACATCAACTCCAACATCTTCTCCTTTGCAAATGTGCCAACACCACCAAGTGTACACCACCATGTGTATGTGTGTTAGCTTTTCACAAACATTTCTCAAAGGATTAGTCACTCAACTTGACACGCCACTCGATCCTAGCGACGATGCAAAGTTAGATCACTCAAGTCGCACTAGATGACTGATATGCAAACAAGTTTGCCCCTCTTGATAGTACGACCATCTATCCTAAACCCGGTCATAAACTTCTCTACACACCTATGACCGGTGAAATGAAATGCCCTAGGTTATACCTTTGCCTTGCGCATTCCATTCCTTCTCCTCCAAAGTTGATGCAACACTTGCACCAACACGTTCAACAATGATATGATTCACTTCATATCATCACATGATCATATTGGTTGATCGATCTTGACCACACTTGCTCTTTACCGTTGCCTTGGTCCGTTAGAGCCAAGTCATCACCCAACTTGCCCTTTACACTTGCAACTGGTCCATCAAGCTAAGTCTTGTCTTGATCTTCTCCACCTTGATCACATGACTCCATGTCATGTCTCATGTGCAATAAGCTCCTTCATCATCACATGTGTGAGCCTTGAAACTTCTCCGAGCCATTATCACCTTCATGGCATATGTTGCTCACACAAATGTACATGTGGACTAATCACCTATGTATCTCACATAAACACAATTAGTCCACCTAGATTGTCACTCATTTACCAAAACCAAACAAGGACCTTTCAGCAGAGAAGAGGAGGCAGAACGGATGCACCGGCGCGTCCGGTCAAGAAAAACCGGCTCTAGAACCATACTTGAAATGACCAGAGTCAGGCGTAGTAGCATCCGGTCATCCTTGCGGTGCGCGTCCGGTCGCAACTTAACCGTTGAGATCGGACGCTCAGGATTTGAAGCCAGGGATGACGTGGCAGCCATCCGTTGACCGAACACTGGCAGTGAGTGAGCGATTCTTGCTTGTGTAGCCTAGTAGTAGCTCCCTTGCGTGGCTAATTTGGTTTGTGTAACCTTGTTAGTCACATTGCTTAGTGTGTGTAGCTAAGTATTTGCGCTCTCTAATTTGGCATTGGTTGCCTTGTTATTGAGCATTGCGAGCTTTGTGCTTTTGCTTACTAGAATTGTGTAGGAGCTCCCCGGTGTACAAAATACTAGTGGCATAGGTTTGTGTGACCTAGCTCCTAGAATTGAATAGGTGAGCTCCAGCTAGCTTGGCACCTTAGTTGCTTAATTAGGATCTTTGCAAGGTGCTAGAGAACATAGATAGAGGGGTGTAGTCTTGGCTAGACCGATAGTTTTAATTCCACATTTGTTTCGGTTAGCCGGCGCGATTAAATTTAGAAAGAACTATTCACCCCCTCTAGTCTGTCATCTCAACCCTGCAGATGAGGCCGGTAGTGATGTCCAATTCTGTAGTAGTGATAGAGTATATTTATCTTATTGTATGCAGGCTTCCACCTCATCATCAGTTAGTGGCTTTCACCAATAAGTGGATCTCATCAGTCAGTGGTTTTCATCGATTAGAGGCCTCCATTAGTCAGTGGCTTTCACTAGTCAGTGGATCTCAACAGTCAGTGGCTTTCATCAATCAGTGGCCTACGTTTGTTAGTGCTTTCATCAATCAGTGGCCTATGTTTGTTAGTGGATTTCACTAGTCAATAGTCTTCATCATTCAATGGTTTTCATCACTCTATGGTTTTCATCTCATTCAGTGGTTTTCATGGAATATTCGGCCTTCGCTATATGTCTCTCAAATGGCTCTTAAGTTCTCATCAGTCAATGGTCTCCATTGGATGGCTGGTCTTCTCGGATATTGATATAATGGCATTCGGTTTTCACATATATTGGCCTTCGCATTGGTGCCAAGTCATTGAAAATTATCAGAGTATGTCAGTCATTTCTCTTAAGTACAGCGCCCACCAGGGATCTTCACCAACCACCAGACTTCATCGACAACCGACCTCGACAGGTATGAAATCTGTCAACCCTCTAACACTAACACTTTGTCTCCTTTTTTCAGGATGTATCATTTAATAATTTTACACTTTAATAATATGCAATTCACCAAAGCTTATTGGTTTAAGCTAACCTTTGTAGGAAACTAATATTTTACATTCAATACTACAAGTCGTATTTGTACCCATGCTTGTTCTTAAATGGCAGCCTTTGCTACCCATCAAAATCTATAACCCTCTCAGTTGAGAGCATTACTGCCTATGTAGACTTTATATTTTAATGCAAAGGCATTCATTTGCATCATCACATACATACATACACTACATAAATGCATTGCATTGCATGGCTTAGGCCACCTAGAAAAAGTCTTGAAAAATACACAAGCACCGAGACTCAACAAAAACCTAGAAAAAGTACCAAAAATACACAGGCACCAGGGATTAACGAAATCCTGGAAAAAGTTCCGAACCTACACGGACAACATGTCGTGAAGCTAAGGCCCTTCGCGCTACCCTCGCATAGAATATGAAAAGACTAACGACCTTTTGCAGCAAGTAGAAAGCCAGTATCTTTTTGAGCGTCGAAAAACTTGCCAACAAGTTTATATTCGACCAAGCTACAATGCTCAACCCAAGTCCCTAAAAAATGGACCCTATCAACTCAGGTGTATTTCCATGCGACTTCTCGGTCCTTTGGCAAAAGGAATTTCACCGACACCTTTGGCGTTTACACCAACACTGCCTCTGCCAAAACTTCGGCACCAGGGGCCTTGCCAACACCTTCAGTGTCTACACCAGCATTGCCTCCGCCAAACACCCATGTAGGAGGGTCCTCGCCAACATCTTCGGTGAACCAAAGCAACACGCCTCCACAAACATTTCGGTAGGAGAGGCTTCGCCAACATCTTTAGTGAACCGCTATGACTCGCCTCCACTTCAGCAAGAGGGGATTCGCCATCATCCTTGCCCATGTAAATGTTTCGAGAGCCTTCATCAACACCTTCAGCATCAATGCCTACGACGACTCACCTTCATCATCGAACTCGAGGGACTACATCAACTCCTCTGGCACCGAGGTCTACCTCACCCTCGTCGACACCTTAGCTCGAGGGCTCATCGACAACTTCAGCTCAAACATCTACTTCCGCTACTACAACTCTAGAGCAACCAAAAATCAACAGAAACAGGAGTTCACCGTCTAGTCTTGCCCGTATGCCCACTAAGCTCAAAGAGCTGCTCAAGTTGAGGTGAGTTTGATTGCCCATTAACCTCTGGGATTTTCCAAACTGACGCATCGTAGCCCTCACCTGGCATTCACATCACGACTTTTCCAAATTGCAAGAAAATCACACACTACAGATTTGCAAATTGCAATGTTCACGAACAGAAGACAACTTTTCCGTTCTTTACCAGACGTGTAGACTGTGGAGAAGACCCTGTGATCGAAGGGGCATGATTTGAGGTCCTAGATCTCGTTGGGGTGGTAGAAGAGGCCATCGCACACCAGCTCGCTCTCCGCCGGCGAAAGCCGGATTAGGTGCACCTACTTGGACGCACTCAGAGGAATCGAGATCCAAATCAAATCCCACGCCATTTCCCCTGACAGAAAAGTACTACTCGAATCGCAATCCCACCAGACGCGATGCGCCTTCATGGCCGCGAGACACGCACCTCGTTCTCCTCCTTGAGGCTGAGGGTGCCGGCGAGGAAGGTGGTCGAGCCGGCGTCCGCGCGCACGTCGGCGATACACCAGCGCCTGCAAGAGCAGAGAAAGGAGGAAGAGGTTAAGACAAGTTGTTCTAGAAGGTTTCGGCAGGCGCTGCTGCTGCTGCTTGCTTGCTTGCCTGGTACTTGAGGCCGCCGTAGACGATGCCGCTGGATCCGGCCTGCGTTCTCGCGCGCGCTTCGGATCCGCGCGGCGACGCCACTGATCGCTCGCTCCGAGACGGAAGAGACCGCACGGAGCAGGCAGCCGCCTTCGGCCTTCCACACTCCTTTAGACGAAGAATAAGGAACGCTCCGAATAAAATGCAGAAAAGTAGAAATCGATCGAACAAAGCCTAAACTGAATTCGATCCGATTTCGATTTTAGTATTCCGTATTTCGAATTTGAATTTAGTATTCCGTATTTTGTCCAAAAATATGAATTTGCTCGGATCAAATATAGAAAACGATGCGGTTCGGTTTGGAATATTTTCTTTCCGTTTTCATCCTTACATGACAGGCAACCATTCATTTCCAAAATCACACTCATTCATATTTCCACTCATCCCAACCCATGTAGTTGTTGAAACCAAACCATAACCCGTTCGAGACCGCATACACCGCTATCCGGATAAAGTTTATACTGTACAGAGGTTGTACACTTTCACCATAAGTAGGATACCGTAACTTAACACCGTCGTGCAAGCACAGATCCACCAGAGCCATTACCCTCCATAGCTAAGTAATGGCGCTCACCACGGGAACACTAAGGCCACATCTCATAATACAATAATTTACAGAGCTCATTACATTTTATACAATTCCTCAATTTCCATATACATCTCTTAGTGTCCCGTTGCACACCTGGCTATTGGTGATTGCCATACCTACTAGAGGGATTTAGGCTAAGCCTTTCCCATGCAAGGCAAGTGGTTGTACGATAAATGAGTTAGGTGAGATGAATCATCAACTCAGTCCTTAATCGAGAAAAGACGGATATCTTCACGCTTAACCACAAAAGGTACCAGCCACAACACCATGGCATCCCACAAAAGGGACCTGACCCGCCCCATCTCTAGGGTAATCACAATCTATACTTGTTCATTAACCCTTTCACAATACCCACAACTTATCCTCACCACTCACAGTTTTCGCTTAAAATCATTGTATTTGATAAATCATAGTGGTGAATATCAATGACGGGTACTAAGTCCTAAGCATACTAGATAACGATATTTTGTCATAGCATAATATTTATTCTTAGGTTTGAACAAGACAATTATCAGATAATATCAATCCAAGGATAGCCATTCATACGGGTTTTAGCTAAGCAGTGAAAATACCTCGTACGTATATATATAATATTTAAAACGGCTACTACGGATTGTGTTTAAAAATGGGATCAACATGCATCAAAGGTGAATAGGCTGGACTTCCTCCATCGGCGTCCTCGGTAAATTTCTGCTGGCAGTTCGGATCCGCGGTACTCGCCTCCGAGCTCGTCCTGGCCTCCGAGGTTGTTGTTCGCCTCCTCGGTCACTCCATCAGCTAATCGACGCGCCGAAACAGGCAAACAGACGCAAATAAATATTCACATAAATTCAATTGAGCTCCAAAAATTATGAAACTTTATGGATGGGTAGGGTTTGATTTTAGATGAATTTAGAGAGAAGAACAAATGAAATAGGAGGTGGTATGGTGGAGATATTAATTTTAGAAGGTGGCTGTTTATTTGGCCCAAAAAGGAACAGTGTACGTGATTGGCTGGGAGTGGTGTACGCAGGATAAATGGCTTCGGCTCTTGGCCACGGGCCCACAGGAGGTTACGGAGGGATTAGTTGCTTTATTTGGGATTGGCTGTTGGAGGAGTAATAACAAGGAGGTAGAGAGACACAGGGACATGACACGGACGTCGTGCTCCTTGTGTCCGTCCGCCATAGCTGTACGGCGTGGATCGTGGGGAGCACGGCCTGGGAAGAGAGAGGGGAAATAGGAGCCTGGAGAAGGTGGAGGAGAGCCTGGGGGCGCTCACCGTCGGTTGATTCGATCGAGCTGTGGGGGCCCGAGCTTGGAGATCGACGGAGCACAGTTTGCTCAGGGCAAGAACAGAGGAGGCTCAGCGGGAGGAGGAAGAAGGTAAGCGACGGAGTGGGACGGCTCGGCGGCTAGGCCTGGTGGAGGGGAGCAGCTCGGTGCCGCCTTTTATAGGCCGGAGGAGGGTGGTTGGCCGGAGAGCACAGCAACTCGCCTTCAATGGCGGCACTGCAGCGGGCGTCGGCTTGCGAGCGTCGCTTGCTTGTGACGACGGTGGCGCTGAGGCGACGGAGCGTGCAGGCGGAGTGATGGTGCGGCAGAGGTGAGTGGAGCAGGGAGGCGTGCGTGTGTTGCTGCAGCGGTTGGCGGTGATAGGATGGGGCTAGCAGCTCGCCGTGCGGCAGCGGTGCTAGCTCAGTTGTCCGCTCTGCTGCTTGCGGGCGTGCTGTATACTGCAGAGGTTGCTTGTGCTCTGTTAAACAGGAGGGAAGGGGGAAAGGGAGATGGGAGGTGGGGCCCACGATGTCGTGGTGGTGCACGGGCACTGTGGTCGGCAGGGGGGGTGTTCCGGGTACGGGTGCGCCACGGCGGTAGTGGCGGGGCCGGCGCACACAGGCGAGGGCGAGCGGAGTGCGCGTGACGGAGAGAGGTGGGGGACGGCCCGAGATACTCCCGTGGTGGCGTGCGGGATGTAAATTTGGATAAGGGAACAGAGGGATATACATGAGATCGAATAAGTAGGAAGAGAATTTAAATAGAGCTGAAATGACTTTAGTTTTTAAAATAGCTTTTGAAAATATTTTTGAGCGAGTGATTTTAAGATTTGAATTTTTGGGACGTTACAACTATCGAGGAGCCGCTTGTAATTTACCATTGCCTATATATACTGCCCAAGGGAATGAGGGCAAGGGACTTGTCGGGGACCAATATTAGGGTACCCGAAGAGGAGGAGCTAACGGTCGTCAGAACTAATCCACCCGAGCAATCAAGTGCGCAACTACAGCTCCAACCGGCCCCAACGTGTGTAGGTTCCGCCTCGCCTGACCGCTGAGGGGCAGGTCCCGCCACAGCCAGCCCCAGAGGCGCGGGCTCCGCCTCGCCCAACCGCCGGGGTACAGGCCCCGCCTCGCCCGACCGCTGGGCTATAGGCCCCGCCTCGCCCGACCGCTGGGCTACAGGCCCCGCCTCGCCCAACCACTAGGTCTGGGGCTCCGCCTCGCCTGAGCCCTCAGGCGCGGCTCCCGTCTCGCTCGACGGAAGCCCGTACCGCCGCCAACCACTATGGGTCAGAAGGTACAACCCAAGGTCAAACTTCTGGCACCGAGCAGGGAGCAGGCATGTCTCGACATGACCCATGGCCACGACATGTCACTCCTGGGATTCACATCACCAACAGTGACGGATGTGTGGTCACTGTGTTGTCTACTCCCCGTACGGCCACTGACCAGCTGATGACGCCGGGGCGTGGCACCAGCGGTGAACAGGAGCCCGACGCGGAGCCGTCCTTGACACTATCTACAGCGTCGGCGGGACTCGCATAAAGGACAAGAAGGACCCGACGGGCCTGGGGGATTTCTTCTCCTTAACTTTTCTTCCTCTTTCTCTATGTAACCTGCTCTTCCCCTTCGTCTATAAAAGGGGAAGCAGGACGCTCCATGAAGGGCACGTCAAAACACGGCTCTATACGCCTTGGACGCCTAAGACATCTGAACACACCCCAACACGCCTTAGCAGCACTCACACACACACAGAGACTTGGGACCTTCTCCCTCTCTCGCCTGTTTGTAACCCCTACTACAAACTTTCGGTGCTAGTAACACATAAGCAGCAGCGACGAACTGGATGTAGGGACATTCTACTCGAACCAGTATAAATCTTCTGTCCTCTAAGCACACCATCCGAGCCAGACGCGTAATTTAGAAATTTACTAGTTTGTAACTAGAAACACCGACAGGACTCTCTCCCTCTCAAAATCCTAATGTGTCCCCCCCCCATCCACCGCCAAGCTCTCTACTCTCTACTCTCCTCTTAGTCCGTTCGGAACCCAAGTTCCAACAATTCATTCGCTTGGCTACTCAAAGTACCTCATTCATTTCGAAAAGAAAAATGTTATGCGTCCAGAATCACAATTTTTTGAGCTTGCATACTACCTAGATGGCATACATTCTACACAACCTATCTACTTTCAAGATTTCATCCCTAGTGGAGAAGGACCGCGCCTCTACAATCATCTTCTGAATCCTTCATCACTATATATTAGTCGAATCGAAAGTACTAGATATGGAACATGTGTCTTCTTCGTGGTTTTTGTTACTAAAGCTAGTGTACATATAAAACCCCCGCAAACTATCGATGGGATTGGGATGAGTATAAGTAGAGTGCGAGAGATTATATTTTGCCTTTTGTTGAGATAACCTTTTTTCTGAGATTATATTTTGATGAGTGTAACAGCAGCTTGAGGCTGAAACCAAACTGTTGAGATAACCCTTTCTTCTACTGTCATCTGATCTGAGTGTTAATAGTTTCTTTGCACTGATGCTTGGATGCTTTCATTTTTTGTTCAGTTAATGTATCCTTGCTGAAATTGATGTTGGAATGGCATCATCAAGGAATGAGACATGGTTACACAATGGATGAGCATTACCTGTTCTATGTGTAAGTTTGTGGTTGTTTTTTTTTCTTTGCAGCTTGCTGATCCAAATACCAAAGAGATAAAGAGCGACTGCACCTATAATTTTCTCCTGGTGGAACATTTGTTGGCGATAACACTTACTACCTCCCCTGCTGTATTTTGTGTTAGAAAAAAAACAGTACTATGTATCAATGATGCATAATACTATAGTTTGTTCTTTTTTTTTTGCATTTATGTAGTTTGGTATATACCTTATGATCTTTAAGATGACACTTGTTTTAGTGTTTTGAACAATCTGGTCTTCTTCTTTAAGAGTGCCATATTTTAATTGTATGTGCACCAGTAGAGAATAGACCTTTGATCCAAGGGCCAAACCAGGCTCTAGTCCCGGGAAATATTGCGTCCGGGACTAGAGAGACCTTTAGTCCTGGTTGGTGGCTCCAACCGGGACTAAAGGTCGACCTTTACTCTTGGTTGGTGGTTCCAACCGGGAGTAAAGCTCTTGTCCCGGCTAGTGGCGTGGCCCAGGACTGGAAAGTGACCTTTAGTCCCGGTTGGATCCACCAACCGGGACTAAAGGCCCCCCCCTATAAATCCTGCTGGCCGTCTTCTTCCTCCCCGAGCCCGCCCGAGAGCTTCAGTTCAAATTTAAGCAGTGTTCTTGCTCTTTCTCCATCCATTCTTCGATTCCTCCATCGATTTCTTCGATTCCTCCGTCGATTCTTCGGTTCTAAAGATTACCAACTTCATACTCTCATGTTTCACCATTGTCTTATCTCATTTTGTTCACTATATATATATGGTTCTTTATTGTGGTTTTTTTTTTCATTTGTAAGCAATTTGAGCTCAAAATCACTTCAAGCTTGCATATTTACATGAAGGAAGGTTAAAGTAGCTATTAAAAACTAGTATTCACTGTTCATTTGTAGCATGCATAGCACACTTCATTGTTTAGAGATATAGAGAATTTTAGAGTTTTTTTAATTTTATTTGTTTATAAAATGAGAAATTTATAGTGTATTAAAAAATGAGTATAGAGAGTAGATGGCAACTGCTTCCGGGTCCTCGGCCTCTCATGGGTTTCCAAAGCGACTTAGGCCGGGCCTTCCACTCATTGCATGCGGCAAGTGTTGTGATGAGACGAAGATTGTGATGGAGTACCGAGTGAAGGAGGGTCCCAACAAGGGTCGCATTTTCTACAAGTGTCCGGATCGCAATGTGAGTTATTTTATCGTATTTAATGACTATGGTTAGTTTATACCTATTTTCATGATGGTTGTGATTAAAGTTCTAATTTTCTGTTTTAATTTTAGTGGGATGGCACTGGATGTTCAGGCTTCTACTGGGAGGAAGAGTATATTGAACTCGTGCAAAAATATCTTGCACAATAGGCAACTATGGCGGCTA